CACGTGGTGACCATAAATTGTTGGTAGTAATAGACCATCAGTTTCGAGTGCATGCAGCAAAATATTTCTTCTTTTATTATCTTATATAGGCATGAATTCAATCAGTAAGATTGTTACGATTTGACAGGAAGAAACATGATATGCGATTCATAGAAGAAAAGGATAAATTTCAATATTGAGAATGTTTTCTACTATTTAGAAGGGACGACTTCATTCACTGCGTTGATGCTGTTTGAAGAGAATATTTAAATGCTGTGACCATAATGAACTTGAGCACATTTAATTGTCAAAATTTTCAAACCTGTCTTTAATCGTCATGGATTTATCAGTGCGCGTCTAGATAGATGGCACAGTTATTAACGACGAAAACTTCCCAAGTAAAAAACTCGGTGATATGGAAAATTTTCTTTTACCTGGAGGCGGATTGTTGTATCGATACGAGCAACTCCGAGTTCATGGACCTTGTTGATACTTTTTTGAATAGCCGACATAACTTGGTTAAATTCACCCTCTACCGGATGTAATACATAATTGGATGTTGAGTAAAACTTAAAGAGTACGCGTGAATCAAATGTTTATTAACAAACCAATGTTGGTGCCACAAGCGTGCAAATTGATTTTCAGCCTTGTGATGCAATTTCGAAAAGAAAATAATGATTGATGAGAAAATCCGAGAAAATTAAATTTGATTATTTACTCACCCGGTTTCTTGTAAAACATTTTGAACTTCGATGATGTACTAAAATTGAAGAATAAATTTCAATAAGGTAACGCGTGAGAACTTACGCATCAAAAATAAAAATAATAATAATAATTACCTTCGAAATGCTGACATCTTTACCAATGGGAACAATGCATAAGTCGGCAATAACCTGACAGTTTCCGGTGGTGAGTGTCATTATCAGAGATTCTATTAAGAGTTGAAAATTGCAGAGCAAAGTGACAAAATATCGAATTATTTAAATGTTTTCAGAGTATATAATAAATACATAATCAAATTTATTTAACTTTCTCCGAGTATGACGGCATGTGAAAACTTTAAAATGTTCGTGGGAATTGTTTATTGATCTCATCAATCACGTACATTATTATCTGCCAATTTTGAATAAAGTTTTAGGTACAAGAAAAATTCAGTTCAAAAAAATATCATCGCACAGCAAGTCAAGTCTTAATTACAAAAAAAAAAACTGGTAACGATACCCAATTTAGTGTTTAGATATGAACTTAAACGTAAATGGTTAACTTACCGTATTCTCACTAGAGCCTCTTTTGAGATTAATCCTCGTGAGTATTTTTTATTACCAAATTTTTACATCATAAAAGATTATAACAAATACAACAGATACGTATGTCGTTACGTAATTATAGGCAGCGATAGTATAAATTGAGCCTCTTTCGCCAAGTTTTTCTTATTCTGCTCTCTCCTTAGTATCTTAAAGATGGAAATTTCAAATTCCCCTCGAGATACCGCCTTTGACAGTACCAATGACTCCGAAATTAAAAAGATTCTACGTGATTCTTTGTTGAGAGATTGTACCAGGATTTTGCAAGAAATAC